TCATTGCAACCATAAAATAATATTATTTGCAAGAACCATTCACTAAAATTGTAACTAACTTTTTATTATTTATTAATTCCTTTTTGATATTCAGCAATAACAAGATGGAAAAAATTATAAACCAAAATTAGCAATATTTTTATGAATGTAGTTATAAAAGTTCACAGAGGAAACGCCGGAAAACAATGTATTGGCAACAACATAAAATTTATGGCAATTTAGATGTCAACAGAATAATAACTACGATAAAAAAGCATGAGAGAAGTGTGCGAGAAACGGTCAACAAATTTCTTATAAAATATTTTGATTTTTGCTGGGTGTAAATGAAAACTCAATGAGTATTAAGGAAAAGAAAAATTTTAAAATAATAAACAGAAAAAGAGATGGGTGCACAAAAACTTTAGTTAAATGTTTTTCCCAAATTCTTAAAAAGTAAGTAAATCGATTTTTTTAATGTTACTTTACATCTATTTTCTTTTTTATGAATAAGGTCATAAGCATGTACCGTTTTTATAAATAAATCTTATAGCAATATGCTATATATTTATTTATACACTTTTTGGCTGGCGAAATATATAATTTTTCAACTTAATAGAAAAGCGTATTTAACCACATTACTTTTTTTTAATATGGAATGGCGCAACACAACAACTCTTTTTGTTGCACGAAACCCTTGAACACGTGCCTGTCATCTATTTCTTCTGTTTCGACATTTCGGTATTTTGCAATTCTTTCATTTTGACGTCATTCGCATTGTCAGATTTTTGAAATTCGTTTTGGTTCGACATTCTGCTATTTCATAATTCTTTCATTCTCATGTCATCCATCTTCCATTTCTTACCTTCCATTGCCGTTCGCATCGTCGAACGTGCCTGTCAAACACTGCCGCCATCATGCTTTTCAGTTTGGCAGGCACGTCCGCTGTTAGAAAGAACATAGACAAAAAGGGGCATAGGATTCCATACTTGTAAGTATATACAATGTATCGCGCTTCGAGTTCTTTAATTCGGAAAGGGTAGGGAAACCAATGTAAACTTTAGTTCACGTTTTCCTATTTGGCTTGATTTCCTTTTCGTGGTTTCCTTTACCCACGTATAATAACTTTTTAATGCCCATTGAGATTTTGTGGTCAGGCCTGCAAAACGAGCTGAATTTTGAAGTTATGAGCTCACTTCACTTTTTTTTATAACGAATCACTTAATATGAAGTTCACTTTGGTTTCTTAGCACTTATAAAATTCTAATTTTTATTTCTTTTTAACACTTTTTTTGCACCTTTAATAACTTGCTTTAAACCGCAATTCCTATTGAGTGATCCGCCTCACGAGTGATACTATTCCTAGTACCGACACGCTAGGCTAGTACTTCTATGTATAAGAGAACTTATGTATATGCGTTTGTAAGGTTTTCTCCCCCCACACAGGCTCTTCTCTGGGATGCTGGTACCACCATCGAAGGAGCGGACCAAGTGAGTGAGTACTTTTTCTTTGATTTTATTTTTACATACTTACGCATATTTATGTGCATGCTTATGGTTTGAGCAGTTATTACATACGTATGTACATACCCAAGTGATTTTGTTATCGCGCCTCAAAAAAAGGGAAAACCATATATATATATACATATATATATATATAAATATACACGGAAAAACATTACTATTTAACCATAGAATGGCGAGTAAAAACCAATTTTACCGAGATTGTTGTTTTTTTGAGCAGGGATAAGTTTAGGATTCACTTAAGTAAATAATATTTGCTTTTTTTGCATATTCCCTTTTGGGGACCTTAGCTGCTTTTCGTGGAATTAATTGATTTTCTATTGTTAATAATACCTATTTAAGTATGTACGTATGCTTATGAATGGATACTTATGTACATATGTAAATAGTAATTTGACATTTGTGCTGTATTCTCAGGAAAGAAAATTGGAGGAATACGAGGGTAGTTTAATTAAAGTTTAGCTCAGAGCTTTGTATCTAGGTTGAATTTTTAATAAAGGAAAAAAAAATGAAATTAAGATGAGAGTATTATTATGAAAATTAGGCGCTAATTTATTAATTTTGGTGTGTGTATTGCGCTTGCGTGCAAGAGGAGATATGGGGTAATGACGGACGATAGGACTGATAGACAGGGGAGGACGGGATGACTGACCAACGGACGTAGTCAGGTTAAGGGGCGTTGTAAGGTGAGATGAGTCAGCACAACGCCCATGGTTTCGCGTTGACCGGACGCCGAAGAGGGTGGGTAGACTCCGCCTGACAGGACCTGACTTTGCGTTTTCTGCTGTCTTTTTCTTTTCGAGTTCTTTTCTTTTGCGTATTTCTTTATAAATTATTCGGCATGAAATTTATTTGTTAGTGTAGCGTAGGCGAGTGCACAAAGACCCACCCCAACCGATGATCTATGCCAGGAACCACCAGCATGCCGACGTGCCACTCGACCGTGCCACAAACTTACTGTTACACCACACATGTCATGATAAGTCAGGACTCTTGGTCACCCTAATAGTAGCACTCTAACCCACAGGTGGCGTGGAGAAATACACTTTTTAAACTTTTTGAATCGCTATATCTCGAATATGGTAATTCTTAGGAACAAAAGTGTCACAGCAGTTTTTATAGATAATTCTGTGATCTATATTTTCGTCTCACCTATTATATAATAAACCTTAGCGTTTTCCTGAAAAACGCAAAAAATCAATTCATGTGACCTTTGACCTTGAATAAATCTTTTTGCAGACGTGGGATCGATGACATTTGACATTTCATTCATATAGGTGTTAGGAACACTCGTACCGATTTTCAGCTTTATGGGAATTATAGTAAGCTTACCCCAATTTTTGGAGCGAATTTGAATGGGCAAATCATAAATGTGTGTGGAAACTTTTTGTATGTATCTCTACTTCAGTGCTCATAACTTCTACATTTATTATTCAATTTAGGACCTTATTGTATTTATGCAAGAATCGAAAAGTTAAAAGTTTCTATCATCTGGATATTTTTACCGAAAGCAACTTGTTTTTAATTATTTTTTTTATTATCCAAAATTTTCGATGAATCAATGATTAACTCTTAAACCAGAGGTTCCCAAATTTTTTTCACCTCGGCACCCTTGTTGTGCTAAAAAAATTTCGCGGCACCCCTACTCTTCAAATGTCTACGAATACAAGAAAACACAATGAAAACTTTATGCTCCTTTAGCTTTAATGTGAGCACTAAAATAGTTTTGATGATTTCATTATTTCCTTTAAGTTTATTGGGAGCTTTGACAATTTTAGCCTGAAATCATTTGACGCTGAAAGCTTGCTGGTGTATTTGTTCACAAAACGAAGGCTATCGATTTAATAATAATAATAATAATATCCCAACGGTTTTTACCCTCCATTCCCGCCCATCCGCACGAGGGACGCAGTCCGCATGACGTACGGAACCAGTATTTTCAATTTTTGCGCCGAGTCACGATAGGCAGGAGTTTGTTAAGTGTCGAGATCTAAAACTGTTCAGCTACAGAACTAAATTCATCAGCCGATTTTATGTCTTTATTTTAATGATTCATTTATTGAGAGAGGACAGTATCGATTTCTTAATGCTGAAAAGCGGATCTGATATATCAAACGTGCTGGAATGAGAGTTAAAATCCTGGCATAAGCAACGGAGTGGGTCGTGCAATTCAAAATTAATTTTACAAGCTTTCAGAAATAGGGGGAAAAGTGTCTTGATACCCGGGAGGGTACCAATACTTTTTTATTATTTTTTTCTATGTATGTTACCGCATAACTTTGGACCACGTTAACCAATTACTATAATTCTTTTTTAAAGTAAAGGTGTTACCTGACAGGTGGTCTAATTTGGTTTAAATCCGATCATTGGATCATGAATAGATTAACGATAACCTTAAATTCTTAGAAGGGAATTGAAATCGGTTTTTTTTTGCTTAAAAATTACTTGTTTATGTAAGCATTTGTTGAAAATGTAGTCTCACATAGAAATGTAAAAGTAAGGCCTCTATCATGAGTTGCATTCGACTGTGGTCGAAAGTGCTGATCGAACGAATTTTCATTTGGTATTATGACGCTCATTCGATGAAGAATAGCGCTATTGTGAATTTCGCTCGGTTATGTTGTTTACAATAGTATATTTTTCACCGCTGAGAAATGTTGTTTACAAATCGAGCAAACTAAATAGTGTGCTTATACATATGTATGTAAATTTGTGCAAATTAAAATGAAATAAAAAAGAAAGCGAGTTTATAAAAACGTGGTAAAGATGAGTACAACTGAGTTCTGGTTCAACGATTCGTCAGAGGATGAGAGCTTGGTAAACTGGCCAGGAGTAGAAAATGTTTAAGAGGGTTTAAGTGTAGTTTTTCGAATTAATAAAAATAGTTTAAAATTAGTGTCTAGCCGCCATAAAGTAAAAAAACAAATGCAAATCATAAATTTTTCAGAATTTTCTAACACTTCGCTACACCATCGAAGGCAAAATTCTGTTCGACAGAAAATTCGATACTGAACGAAAATTTCGACACGGTTGCATAGCTCATAATTTCCCTTTCGATGTTCGATCTTCGATAACCAGCGAAGAAAATAAAGCTAAGAAAATAATTTTTACCGCCAATTTCACGAAAGCAATTTAAGTGATAAATGAATGCAAATTGCTAGAAATTCTAAAATGTACATGTCATCAATAAAAAAAATCTCGACGTGCTAGAAAAAATCAGAGGTGTATTTTAATTTCGCAGGCCTGTGTTATTTTCGCAGCGTCATCCACTACGGGTTTTAAATCTAGTGGCGGCATCTTCCTAGACATCGCTCCTTTCGTTTTTCCAACCACGGCAAATATCCGCACACTTGTTCCATTTCAAACCATTTTTCTGTACAAATTTATCGATAGCTTTAAAAATTTCGTCGCTAGTGGTGTAAGTCTGAAGTACTTCGATCTTCTTCGATTTGCATTGCGAATGGGTACCTCACTAACACGAGAAGACTGCCTCTAAAATCTTGTTGATTCGCTCTTTGACAGTGTGATTTTGAAGTTCCAAAGAATAAGTAATATATACACGTGCGCGAAACTGATGCGCTTGTTAGGAGAATAGCCCAGCCAGCAAAAAAATCCGAAAATTAATCCGAAAACGGGAAGAAAAGTGGATGAAACGCGGATTAGGTATACACAAGTAGCGAAAGTGGTTGTGAAAAGGTTTATGCATACGTTTTGAATCACGGCGAAGTGGGTTAAAGCGCTTTATGTGTCGGTATAAACAAGGTATGTATATGAGAATGAAAATGATAAAAAAATAGAAGGTAGTTTCACTTCAAACTTTTTTCACGGATAGAGCCATTTTTGAAGTTTCATAAATTGCACATTTTAGAAGCAGCGTTGGTATTAACAAAACATAATTGATGGTATTTTGGGATGGGAGTTTCTATTATTTTTAATAGTTCGTAGTCTTTTCAGACGGTCCTTAATAGTACTGTTTTGGAGTTTCGAAATGTGTAATAACTATGATTAGAAAGTCGTGCCTTTTTTATTAAAAACCACTAAGTTTTATGGTACAAGAAAAACAATTAAGGTATGTACATAGATATGTATGTATGTATGGACATTTAAACAAATAAATTCTGCTTGTTGGCACATCTTGTTAAGGTGTACACCTTATGTGTATATGTATGTACATTACACTGCGTCACCAAAAAAACTTGCTCTTTTTCCGCCGGAATTACAAAACTTTGATAGAGATGTCATAATGCCAGCAAAAGTTAAATGGCTAACATAGCGGGCAAAAACAATGAGCGAAACTACTTTTTTTTGTATCATGTCAAAAGTACCGAAAGTGGTTGTGAAAAGGATACGTTTTCAGATATTTTACTGAAAATTTTCTGATTCAATTTTACGTTAACAAAACGAACTGGGGAACTACGCTCAAGAGCGAAATATCCGTTTGCTGCAAGCTATTTGTGTTGTGTATGGGGTTTGACAAGCCACTGAAGATAATTTTAATAAAAATCAAAATTTTTTGATTGTCTGGCCGCCATGTTGAAGTTTGATCACATCGCTTGTTTTGTGTATGGAAAGTCTAAAGAATTTGCCCGTACCACTAGTATACTCTAGCCACTAGCGGCGCCCCAGGGTGCCGCGTCACCCACTTTGGGAAGGCCTGTCCTAAACTACTAATCCGATTTGAAATTATCGTTTACGTAGAAGATAATAAATTTAATAAGCTTCACTACCGTGTCTTGTAAACTAGTGTAATTATCAATTAAATGAATAGTTAACTATAATTACTTTTAATTCATACCGCTTTCATCACTTCCAATGGTACTATTTTTAAGTCATGTAATATTATTTAGTTAATAAATAAAATAAAAAAAATCTTTAATATTCCTTGCTCTCCTACAAATGGACTAAAAAGCAAAAAATAATATTTCGTTGTCCCATAGAGTTTATTTTAATAACTTTTGATTTTGAAATTTTAGCAAAATTCATTATAAACAATCTATGAGAATGAAAATGATAAAAAAAGAGAACGTAGTTTCACTTCAATTTTTTTCACGGATAGAGCCATTTTTGAAGTTTCATAAATTGCACATTTTAGAAGCAGCGTTGCCACATTGGTATTAACAAAACATAATTGATGGTATATTGGGATGGGAATTTCTATTATTTTTAATGGTTCTTAGTCTTTTCATACGGTCCTGAATAGTACTGTTTTGGAGTTTTGAAATGTGTAATAATTATGATTAGAAACTCGTGCCTTTTTTATTAAAAACACACTAAGTTTTATGTTATAAGAAAAACAATTAAGGTATGTAGATAGATATGTATGTATGTATGGACATATAAACAAATAAATTCTGCTTGTTGTCACATCTTGTTAAGATATACATACCTATGTAAGTATGTACATATGTATGTACATTACACTGCGTCACCAAAAAACTTGCTCTTTTTCCGCCGGATTTACAAAACTTTGATAAAGATGTCATAATGCCAGCAAAAGTTAAATGGCTAACATAGCGGGCAAAAACAATGAGTGAAACTACCTTTTTTTTGTATCATGACCAGAGAACTTAAACAATAGCGAACGTATCGGTATCGTTTAGTTTCGCTCATAGAAGCAGCATTGCCAGGTGGACGTTTTTAACGTCATTTGGACGTTTTATGTATCCTGTGGACGTTTGGACATTTTTTGTGTAAAAAATTACGTTTTTCAACTTCCCAGTAATTTTTCTTTGTTACTAAATCTTGTAAGTAGAACTGAGTTTGAATTATTTTCTTAATAAATCTTTACAATCTTTGTGTTTTACTGCAGCTGCTTCAAAAGATATTTATTTTAATGGACACATATGGCTTAAATATGATGCAAACCAAGCCTACGCGCATTTTTGGGATTCTTGGACTAAGAATCCCGTGTTCAAAGGCTGGTTGTGTAAACACTTGAGGATCCGAGGCTTGTTGTAATACTTGCAACTGCACAATAAAAGCAATTGCACGCTCACAAAAGCATCAAAAAAACTGTGCAGCATAAAACGTCAGAGAAAAGTAGGCAACGTGTTTAAGACTTTATTGCAAACGTAANTATGGGGTTTGACAAGCCACTGAAGATAATTTTAATAAAAATCAAAATTTTTTGATTGTCTGGCCGCCATGTTGAAGTTTGATCAAATCGCTTGTTTTGTGTATGGAAAGTCTAAAGAATTTGCCCGTACCACTAGTATACTCTAGCCACTAGCGGCGCCCCAGGGTGCCGCGTCACCCACTTTGGGAAGGCCTGTCCTAAACTACTAATCCGATTTGAAATTATCGTTTACGTAGAAGATAATAAATTTAATAAGCTTCACTACCGTGTCTTGTAAACTAGTGTAATTATCAATTAAATGAATAGTTAACTATAATTACTTTTAATTCATACCGCTTTCATCACTTCCAATGGTACTATTTTTAAGTCATGTAATATTATTTAGTTAATAAATAAAATAAAAAAAATCTTTAATATTCCTTGCTCTCCTACAAATGGACTAAAAAGCAAAAAATAATATTTCGTTGTCCCATAGAGTTTATTTTAATAACTTTTGATTTTGAAATTTTAGCAAAATTCATTATAAACAATCTATGAGAATGAAAATGATAAAAAAAGAGAACGTAGTTTCACTTCAATTTTTTTCACGGATAGAGCCATTTTTGAAGTTTCATAAATTGCACATTTTAGAAGCAGCGTTGCCACATTGGTATTAACAAAACATAATTGATGGTATATTGGGATGGGAATTTCTATTATTTTTAATGGTTCTTAGTCTTTTCATACGGTCCTGAATAGTACTGTTTTGGAGTTTTGAAATGTGTAATAATTATGATTAGAAACTCGTGCATTTTTTATTAAAAACACACTAAGTTTTATGTTATAAGAAAAACAATTAAGGTATGTAGATAGATATGTATGTATGTATGGACATATAAACAAATAAATTCTGCTTGTTGTCACATCTTGTTAAGATATACATACCTATGTAAGTATGTACATATGTATGTACATTACACTGCGTCACCAAAAAACTTGCTCTTTTTCCGCCGGATTTACAAAACTTTGATAAAGATGTCATAATGCCAGCAAAAGTTAAATGGCTAACATAGCGGGCAAAAACAATGAGTGAAACTACCTTTTTTTTGTATCATGACCAGAGAACTTAAACAATAGCGAACGTATCGGTATCGTTTAGTTTCGCTCATAGAAGCAGCATTGCCAGGTGGACGTTTTTAACGTCATTTGGACGTTTTATGTATCCTGTGGACGTTTGGACATTTTTTGTGTAAAAAATTACGTTTTTCAACTTCCCAGTAATTTTTCTTTGTTACTAAATCTTGTAAGTAGAACTGAGTTTGAATTATTTTCTTAATAAATCTTTACAATCTTTGTGTTTTACTGCAGCTGCTTCAAAAGATATTTATTTTAATGGACACATATGGCTTAAATATGATGCAAACCAAGCCTACGCGCATTTTTGGGATTCTTGGACTAAGAATCCCGTGTTCAAAGGCTGGTTGTGTAAACACTTGAGGATCCGAGGCTTGTTGTAATACTTGCAACTGCACAATAAAAGCAATTGCACGCTCACAAAAGCATCAAAAAAACTGTGCAGCATAAAACGTCAGAGAAAAGTAGGCAACGTGTTTAAGACTTTATTGCAAACGTAATGTAGTGTATCAGAAATGCATATCTACATAACAAAGTTCCACACGCGCCAAAAGTGCATTAAACTTATTTTGTCGGTAATGCAAACAAATTGTCGGTAATGCAAACAAATTGTGGTTCACACGATATATTATGGAATGCTTGATTTCTGCTTACACTGCATTCTCCCATAAGCATATTTTGCTAAGCTAATCCAATGTGCATTTGTATGTGCATAAGTGTCTGGCTGCACATACATGTGTTTGTAAGACTAGTATGTAAGAAGTATAATAAATATGTATTATAGTAAATAAGAACACATAAAATTAAATAAGTTTAAATTTGTATAAATTAGGAAAGAATTAATGAATAAAGAACAATATTCGATAAGCGCTTGACTGCGCCACAACAAATTGTCGTCTTATTACCTTGTCATCTTATTACATGGCGATCCTGCCAGATCTAGCGGCAACTTGTCTTTTTATAGTGGCAAGCTGCCTTTAAGCGGCAAAAGATCCTGCCAGATCTAGCGGCAACTTGCCTTTTTATAGTGGCAAGCTGCCTTGAAGCGGCAAAATATCCTGCCAAATCTAGCGGCAATGCCTTCGTACTGACAGAACACCGTTAGTAGCTGACGTAGCTGTTAACATAAAAAAGCTACATAACCTCGCCAACCGGGCAACGTTTCGACCTCAAAATGAACAAGTTGGTGTCCACTGCCAAGCAGCAACCTCATTTCGGCGAACAGGTGGTCGCTATTTTCATCACCGGTTTGCCTCAGCAAAAAACTGCGCTTAACGTGCTAATCAGAGGCTCATACAAGCTTATTTGAAACTTTACAATGGGAAACTCCAGGTAAAAAGCAACCAGGAAGATGACTCTATATAGGCTGTTTAGCCAAGCAAGAAATCCAGACAGGAAAAGGAGAAAAAAGGTGTCGTTAATTTAATATCAAAATAATAATTATTAATATTTTGGCAACCTAAAGGCTGCCTATTTAGTGGCAAGGATCGAAGATTCTTGCCGTTTATTACATGGCCTTTTATTACTAACAATTTATACCTAAATTATTTAATATTCTATATTTATTTTTATA